GGGTAAATCAGGGTTATCAAATAAGGGGGTCAAAGGACTAGGTATAGTAGACAGCTTATGTTTGTCTCGTAGAGTGCGCCAGACTCGCAGCGTAGCAAGTGTAAGAGGGGAGGAATGTCAGAGGAATGGGACGCCCGCATCAAGGGAAGATGTGCAGGGAAGAGCTCTAAGGTCAAGAGGGTAAAGATCCTTTTCGATCAATAGGGATGGTTTGGCAAGTGCAGCGGTGGAGGGAAACCAGTCCAGCATGCGGGCTAGGAGAGTTGCGCCTCCCCTACTTTTGTGTCTGCAGTGAGTTCTGTAGCGGACACGAGAGGAGCCACGGTGCCTGATGAATCGGATCGCAAGTGCTCTAAGTGTCTTAAAAAAACTTCTAGGAGGCAGGACGGGAACAGTTTGAAAAATATATAGTAATTTAGGAAGTATGTCCTTTAGCCTATCAAGTTTACCAAACCAGGACATATTACAGGACCGATATGAATCGAGATCATGGAGTAGGGAGCTGAGGAAAGGGGTATAATTCAAAGCAAAAAGGTCTGATAAGTGAGAGGGGATAGAGGTCCCCAAATACGTGATGTATTTTTTTTTGCCATCGGAAGGGAAAGTTGTGTTTCAGAAGTGCCACAGAGGAGGGGGACAGAGTTAGATTAAGAGCCACAGATTTGGACATGTTGACTTTGAAGTTGCTAAACAGGCCAAATCTTCTAAATTCCTGTATTAACGCAGGAATACTAATATGTGGCTGTTTGATATATAGGAGCAAGTCATATGCATACAATGACATTTTATGATGGAACGAGGGCGTTCGGATGCCCTTGATGTCAGGATTGGATCAGATAGCTTGCGCCAGATGTTCCATCACAATCACGTATAGGAGGGGCGAAAGGGGGGATCCCTGTCTAGTACCATTCGATATAGAAAAAGGTTGAAAAAGCGAACCATTTACCATAATTCGAGCCATCGGGGACGAGTAGAGGTACATAATCTTGGAGACAATGTTATGGCCAAGGCCTATTTGGAGCAAAGAGAGATGTAGAAAGTGCCAGTCAACCCTATCGAAGGCTTTTTCAGCGTTTATAGACAGGAGGCAGGAAGGAGTTCTAGATTTTTGAACATGAGAGATTAAGTGGATCGTCTTAGTAATACTGTCCCTGGCTTCGTGGCCAGGAACAAACCCCACCTGTTCAGCATTAATGATGGAGGGCAGTGAAGGAGAGAGACGCAGGGCAAGAACTTTAGAGAATAATTTAAGGTCAACGTTAAGGAGCAAAATCAGTCTGTAGTTGTTGCACAAAGAAGGATCTTTGCTCGGTTTGGGAATTACACATATAGTGGACTCCAGCATAGTGGGGAGAAAGGGGTGTGCCTCGTCTACGGAGTTGAAAGTGCGAGTTAGTATAGGAGCAAAAAGATCAGCAAATGTCTTAATAATTAATAAATCTTAAAAAATAGTGGAGAATATCCATCCGGACCCGGACATTTTCCAAGTTTGAGAAAGCGAATGGCCGTATCAATTTCCTCTGAAGAAAAAGGGGAGTCCATGGCATGTATCGTGGAAGAGTCCAAAGAGGGGAGAACAGTGCATTCAATATAGGCCGCCTTTGATTCCGCTGGGTCGCTAAGTGAGGTTGAAGGAAGGGAGGCAGGGAGATTATAAAGCGTTGAGTAGTAGTGATGGAATTCGTCAGTGATGCCAGTGGTGATATGAACCAGTGGTGATATGAACCCTGGCAGAACGACGGGTTGAGAGGAAAGGGATAAATGTATGTGGGGATCTAGGATGTAGGGTCCTGGCGAGATGGCATCCACATTTATTAGCGGATTCATAACGCAATTTACAGGCTTTATCTCTGGCAATACGAGACTGAGCGTCTAACATGGAAAGCAATTCCCGGCGAGCATTGGAGAGTTCTACAAAGGTAGAGGGGAGAGAGTCGGCTTTGTGCAGGTTAGTAATTCTGTGATGCGCGAAGAACGCGCTTTTTTAAGCCTAGAGCCATGCTTAATACAGACACTGCGAATAACACACTTCAGGGCAGCCTATTGAGTTAATGGATGGGTGAAGTCAGAGGCATGGTTCAAGACAAAATCACTTATGGTGCGTCTGATATCATCGCGACAGACTGAGTCCTGAAGTAGAGTATCTTTAAGGCGCACGCCTATGAATGGGGCCACCTGCGGTGAAAAAGATGGGGGCGTGATCCGACCAGAGACGCAGACCTATGTGAGCAGAGGGGGAGCTCTCCAAGAGGGATTGGGAGACAAAGAAGTAATCAGGTCTACTGAACGAATTATGTAGGGCTGCAGCTAACGATTATTTTCATAATCGATTAGTTAGCCGATTATTAAGTTCGATTAATCAGATTTTTTTTTAAAGGCTCCAGTGATGGACTACTAGTTTGTATTGAGATTGTAGTCCATCACTGGAGCAAGCTTGGAGCGGTGGAAGTAAAAAAAAAAGTGTGGTGTGCATTATACAGCGCAATGCAGAATACCAGCAGCTATAGAGGAATACAGCAAATCGCAGCAATAGTAATTATACTATAATGTATTATTGCTGGGATCTGAGGTATTCCTCTATAGCTGGTGTTATTGGAGAGGATGGGTATGATGCAGGAATAGGGAGGACGGGTATGATGCAGGAATAAAGAGGATGGGTATGATGGTGGAATGGGGGTGCAGAGGACGGGTATGATGGTGGAATGGGGTGCAGAGGACAGGTATGATGATGGAATGGAGTGCAGGGAAGGAGAGAACAGGTATGATGGTGGAATGGAGTGCAGGGATGCAGAGGAGGGGTATGATGGTGGAATGGGGTGCATGGAAGTAGATGACGAGTATGATGGTGGAATGGGGTGCAGGGATGGAGAGGACGGGGATGATGGTGGAATGGGGGGCAGGGATGGAGAGGACGGGTATGAAGGTGGAATGGGGTGCAAGGATGGAGATGATGGGTAGGATGGTGGAATGGGGTGCAGAGGACAGGGATGATGATGGAATGGAGTGCAGGGAAGGAGAGAACAGGTATGATGGTGGAATGGAGTGCAGGGATGCAGAGGAGGGGTATGATGGTGGAAGGGGGGTGCAGAGGACGGGTATGATGATGGAATGGAGAGGACGGGTATGATGGTGGGATAGAGTGCAGGGATGGAGAGGACGGGGATGATGGTGGAATGGGGGGCAGGGATGGAGAGGACGGGTATGAAGGTGGAATGGGGTGCAAGGATGGAGATGATGGGTAGGATGGTGGAATGGGGTGCAGAGGACAGGGATGATGATGGAATGGAGTGCAGGGAAGGAGAGAACAGGTATGATGGTGGAATGGAGTGCAGGGATGCAGAGGAGGGGTATGATGGTGGAAGGGGGGTGCAGAGGACGGGTATGATGATGGAATGGAGAGGACGGGTATGATGGTGGGATAGAGTGCAGGGATGGAGAGGACGGGGATGATGGTGGAATGGGGGGCAGGGATGGAGAGGACGGGTATGAAGGTGGAATGGGGTGCAAGGATGGAGATGATGGGTAGGATGGTGGAATGGGGTGCAGAGGACAGGGATGATGATGGAATGGAGTGCAGGGAAGGAGAGAACAGGTATGATGGTGGAATGGAGTGCAGGGATGCAGAGGAGGGGTATGATGGTGGAAGGGGGGTGCAGAGGACGGGTATGATGATGGAATGGAGAGGACGGGTATGATGGTGGGATAGAGTGCAGGGATGGAGAGGACGGGGATGATGGTGGAATGGGGGGCAGGGATGGAGAGGACGGGTATGAAGGTGGAATGGGGTGCAAGGATGGAGATGATGGGTAGGATGGTGGAATGGGGTGCAGAGGACAGGGATGATGATGGAATGGAGTGCAGGGAAGGAGAGAACAGGTATGATGGTGGAATGGAGTGCAGGGATGCAGAGGAGGGGTATGATGGTGGAAGGGGGGTGCAGAGGACGGGTATGATGATGGAATGGAGAGGACGGGTATGATGGTGGGATAGAGTGCAGGGATGGAGAGGACGGGTATGATGGTGGAATGGGGTGCAGAGGACGGGTATAATGATGGAATGCAGTGCAGGGATAAGGAGGACGGGTATGATGGTGGGATGGGGTGCAGGGATGGAGAGGATGGGTATAATGGTGGAATAGGGTGCAGAGGATGGGTATGATGGTGGGTTGGGGTGCACAGTGTTGGGTCCCAGGCTCCGAGGGAAGGGGGTGGGGGGGTAGCAGCACTTACCGTCTGAACATTACCTCCATGTCTTCTGCTGAAAGGTTTAGCCTGGATGCCGGCTCGTCCCCAGCCATAGTCTCCGTCCCCAGGCTGACACCCGTCGCGCTCACATCAGCACCCGTCATGTGATCGGCCCGGCTAGATGTGAGGAGCGCCGAGATCGGAGGAGAGCCGGGAGCTGGGCCGCCGCGGCGTGCGCGTTCGGTGGGCTTGAGTGTGGAGCTGCGAACAGGCAATGTAATAGATAGCCAAATAATCGACGATCGAAAATGTTGGTAACGTTTTCGATCGTCGATTTTAATCGACTAAATCGAATCGTTGTTGCAGCTCTACTGGAGTTTGGTGTCGCTCTCTTGTGTTTAGGTTTCTCGGGGCTCCCAAATTAGATAAAGTTGTGCTGCCCGAAGTGTCTCCTGGAGAAGATATAGGAGAGGAAAGAGTGTCTTTGTCCGCAACCACAGGCGGAGATGTGAAGTGCCGCACGAGGTGAGCTGGCGCCAACTTGTTTTCTGAGCAAGCCCGCGGACTTAAAAAGTCTGAAAGAGTTCATGGCTCTTCTTTATGTTTTCATTTACCTATCCTTGCTGTCAAGATCGGGGTGGCGATCCGGGGTAAGATACTGCAGTAAGAGTCCTCCTGAGTCCACATCAGAGCTCTCTTACTTGGTGGCCATCTGCTACCAGGTCTGGTCATGCCACCCCCCATAACATCTACAGCTTGGTTGCCAAAAGATTACCTGTTGAAAATTAACATCTGCACCTTGTCTCTTTTTTCTAGAGAATCCGGGCCTCAGGACTTATTCTTCTGGAGACAATCCTCTTTGGGTCACTGCTGCTCTACTTTCCAGTGGGTGAAATAAGAGTTAATTATTTTCCCTTGTATAGCACAAATGTTGCACAAAAGGGTTCAAAATATTTTTGTTTGTTTCAGGTATTTATTGTGTATTTTAAACCTGGTGTTTTTCGTTGCATTGCCCTTCGATGGGTCAGAGTTATTGGCTTCTGCATAGTATATGGAACCATTGTGCTTAAACTTTACAGGTGAGCATTGCTTGTTGTACTGCTTTAAGTGATCACGTATTAGGTCCAACAGGAAGGAGCTTCCACAAAGACAAATCTATAATCATATATTGCAATGGTCAAAAGTATATAAAGAACTAATCGCTTATTGTTTTATAATTTTCCCTTTTATCTGTTAATGATTAAAAGAAGAAAACAACATTTTCCTTCTTTCCATCTGCAGTTTTATGGCCAAACACAATCCTTTCTTCAAACATGTTTATTCATGAAGTATTTAGATTCTGTCTTCAACCTTGAGGAGGTGGTAGAAATTAGATTTGCCATTCAGTCCAACATCTGCTACAACTAAATGTGTATTTTTTACTAGTAGTATTGTGACATACTAGCTCTATTATGTCCACGACCCGAAAATTCGACAGGATGGTAGGATGCCCCCTCTTAGGATAGCAATTAAAAACAAAGTCTTTTAAAATCAAGTTCAAATGACAAATTGCAGAGGATAGCACGGTAACC